CGAACCGGCTTCAATTGACTAATGAGCATGAACCAGTAACCCATCCATTGATTGAGTTTCTTGTCTAATTAATGACCTGAAAGTGAACTATCATCAGTCGCTTTAACAACTGGTGGCTTTACGATACGCTTATGTCATGATACATCTTTATTCCCTGTTCAAATTAACTCTATAAAGTGTTGTAATAAATCGCTTTTCACATTTTCGGTCTCTGCTCACCCATACATGCATGCATATTTTGGTTGTGATTTAGTTGGTTATCAAATTGGTTCTTTTGTAACTTTTGGTGAGCAACAAATCTACGGTAATCATTCGTTTTTTTGTGATAGGCCATTATGCAAACAAAAATACGGAAGGAAAACAAACACAGAGATCATTTTTGTCTGACGCGAATTGCCGATATCTCATCACTTGTCTACTACGATCAGAGTTCTATCTTTCACTAGCATCGGCTGGTTTAATCACATCAGTTCTAACAAATGTTTAGAATTCTAACTATTGAAGCATTTGAACTTCTCTCTCAGTTTAATGAATTTCCCTCTCATAATAATTATTATATGGTTAAAAGGATTGTCCAGTAAAATCGCGATATTTTCAACGATTCTTTTTGCTTCCGTAATGTTATAACAGCTCGCAAACTTGTCGTGGACATGGCTTTCAAATACTTCAGGCGAGCTGAATCAATGCGTCCGGAAATCTAATTAGCATTTCACGGATCCTTAGAAGCACGCGAAGGAAACCAAAAATAGCTGCTTCGATTACACCGAACTAAGAATAGTCTAAAAGATAAAGGTTTTCGGATGACCAAATAAGGAATTATGTTCATAAGGTTAGTTAGTTAACATGCTAAATGAATAGCAAGATAGGAAGCATTGGATTAATGTAGTTAAAAATGGATAGCTTCCAGTTCTTCTCAAATTACAGGTGATTCGAATCAGAATGATTTTTGAAATACGGCTGCGATATAGTTGCTGTGTTCTTTTATCCTATACCTCATGGCCTCATTGAGGATCTTTGATGATTTCCAATAGTTGTGGTCCGTTACCATGGAAATTAAATTGACTGGTGACAATTATGCAACGAAAAGAACCAGATTTCCCTTATGATGCAGTTTGGGTTGTGAGATTTAAATTCGCCACTAAGCTTGTTGACCAACTGACAATCGATGCGTACAAACGCACTACATGGATTTCGGTCAAGCGATCGACTGCAGTATTTGCTCCAATCAGGACTGAAATTCTTCCCTGGTTTATTGTAAACTAACTTTGTTTCAAAGCGACTTTTAGCTCCATGTACAAATGCAAGCAGACCATGGACGGTCCACAAAAATGAACAAGCATAACTTATTTACGGTTTTCTCACTACCGTGTATTACGTTAAATGCATATCTGGTTTTCTTTTTGTCTTGCGTTTGACGAACTGATACGCCTCCAATGAGTTGATCAGCATTGTTAACCTGCAAAGCTATGATCCAACGCAATATCTCATCAACCCCCTTCCTCTAATTCTCGTTTTTTGCGATTCAGGAGCACAAGCAGCTGATAAATGGTATCGCGAAATCAAAGACCATGATTTCACCAATAAAGGTTTCCAACCGAAATCAGGTCAGTCCTTCCGTGTGGAAAGCAGACGGATAATGATTTTTTCCTATGCAATTCTCATTGGACTGAACCGTATCTCGCCAAACTCTGTGAACAAAAATACGCTTTTTGCAGTTACACAAAAATACACACAATGATTAACCCATCTTTTGCTTAGTTTTGTAGATAACGGAAGTAAGATTGCAGATGGAAATCTCGTGACTACTTTCTATTATTTTCAGTAGTAGTTAGACTGTAAATCACTGCAACATCCTGATGCGTTGTTTTTCGACTATTTTTCTAATGGCCAACAAATGTGTAACTCGACCTTGAAGCAAACCTCGACAGAAGACAACTACTCAACCAATGTATCGGATTCTTTAAAATGATATGTCTGAAACAGCAATGGTTGACACAGTCGGCCAAAAGGAAAAAAACGGATGAACATCATCTGAACATCTTTGACGTGCAAGATTTTGAACTGTTGTGCCGGAACGGTTGGTTATTTTTCTTACTAAATCTACTCTCAGATTCTCCATTTAGTGATCAATCTATTAGAATGTCACATTAAGTACCAGAACGCGATTCAGACAAGAATTGTACCGATGTAAAATATTTTCTCACTTCGCTTGATTCAACATCTGAAGGTTAATTTAATTGGAGATTGCTTAAGTTGGATCGTGGCTGTGATAATGCGGAAAACGAGACCAAACTGATCCGTGACGTTTTGGGCTAAACATCGAGTAAACTGCCCGCGGTCATGTCACCATACCAGACTTTCATTTGGCCATCAGTATTTTATTTGTAAATGTCACTGTGTCCTAACTCACTGGGTACCTACTGGGTGTTCTGTTTAGAATAAAGAATACCCATTCAGAACCGTGAACACCATTTCGAACTCCTTATTGCCGTGAGAATACTCACACTAATGTCTCATGGACTGGGTCACGTATGTAGTATCAAGCTAGTTGATAAATCAGACTTTGCGTTCTCAATCTCTGAACAAGTTTTGCTAATGATCCATCACATAAGCTGATGAATTCGTTGACTGCTTTTTATGATTATTAAAACATATTTTGCTTCGCATTACATGTTTCGTTAATAAATCATTTTTTTCGAACTCTCCTTGAATGCCACTCACTTGTCGTATGAAACATTGTTCCTTATCGTGCTGTTTGATGGGTGTCTATGGTCCTCTGGTATTAGCGTTTGCCAACAACGAATGTTGTCTCTAGCTCAGCTTGACTGCCACCAAACCGTTCCTTTTGTCGAATGATGATGATCCTGATTTGTGTCTCAACCAATGAGAGCCCACCGCTGGCTCACTTGGTTTTGATAACCCATATCTCTGTTCTGACGCTGTCATTTATCATGCATTCCGTTCTCAATGGTGACTGCTTCGAGAATGTTTCTGTTGCATGCTTTAGTCAGAACGGAGTTGTTCCTAAAGGTGAAGTATAAACCTTGTTTCTTCAGTATTCATAGAGAACTAAATTATGGTACTTTGTACTCACATCATCCGATTAATTCAACCGCGATGTCTGAGCCCATATAGTACACGTAGGCTTTAGGGATTCAGCTAACAGACGGGACAACACATGCTTCCCTTTAAAACACTACTTGTTCTAACTTTTATTTATTTTACCAAATCTGAGATTATTAATCTTCAAAGAGCTAAGTCAAATCAGATTCAGTCAATGGTAGCTTTATGCACCCAGATGGGTGAATTTTCAGCATTCACACCATATTTGTGAATTCAAATTGACAAAATCATTACATAATGA